ATCTCTTCTAGTATCTTAATTATCCCTAACCCGGCCAGACAGTAGGCTGGAAACCTCCCAAAGTGCAACAAATGCAACTATCACCATCATGGACCTTGTCGAAAAATGCAATGCTTAAACTGCAATAAAAAGGGACACACGATCCGTTACTGCAAGACTCGGATCCAACACATTACTTCAACCACCAATGTCGAAATCTCTCGAATGTGCCATCTATGTGGCGTAATGGGACACTTCAAGAGGGACTATCCAACAGAGTAGAACGACGGTGAATCCGGAGGAGTTTGAACTCTTAATGGAGAGAGGCAATGAAGGACCCTACTATAGTATAGGTTCACTTCCAATCGTCAGTATTATGTATGTTTTCAAAACATGTTCGAAACTAGTGCAACTCGATTCTTTTCTTTTGCGAGATCCTGTCAGTTAAGGGACCCTCGTGCTGCGTATACTTGCCTTTTATAGTATACTCTGTTCGTAAAAGTATTCCTGTAGTTACTCTAAAAAACTATAACTCTGTTAAAAAGTTGCACTATTGTGTTTTATCTGTAATGCCTTTAAGATCAAATCTAGTGTATTTATTTCCAAGTGATTCTGATTTCATCATACGATCAGAGTCTATTTGATCCTCACAATACTAGTTTCGTGCGTAAATCTCTTTCTTCGAAATCATCTTTCTATCGAAACTATCACTTCAGAATTCTGAAGTACTCATGCGTAGAGTACCTCATGTTTCTTAAGTACTCATGCATAGAGTACCTCATGTTTCTTATCCTTTCCAAAGAAACCTCAGCAAACCTCCCCGAAGTACCACTCGTGTAGTACATCAAGTTCAATCCAAAGACCCACAGTTTCAATCTTAATTATATACAACTCGTATACCCGAGACTGTGATTGATGAACCTGGTATGGGTTCTACTATGAACTTCAGGGCGAAGACTGCCCAAGGCTGAGAGTGATCGTGCTTCCGTGAGAATAAACTTAGAAATACCTATCCTTTTCCCTAATTCACGAGTAGTCTTACTTTCTTTTACATCTTCACGACATCTAATCCACCCCAAGGTTTTAACATCATAATCAATAGGAGTTGGTTAAGTCTACATCGAGCCGACATCAAGTGCTTTGATAATGCTTTTCATCTTAACCTCCCTATCAAAGAACCTCTTGTTATTTACGGAGACAAATCAAGTACGAACCTTCGCATCATTTCGTGTATTTAAGCTCAAAAGCGCTTGCGAAGGGAATATCACACATCCCTTGCACACATCGTCGATACAAGCCAAGAAGTGAAGGACATTCAGAACATCCCAAAAGTACGCGACTTTCCAACACCTTTCCAGAAGAACTACCGGGATTACCACCACAACTTCAATTCGAGTTCTGAATCGACTTAGTTACAAGGGCTACCCCAGTAGCCAAATCACCTTATCTTCTAGCTCCAACTGAGATGCAAAAACTTCTTAGTGAGCTTAACAAACTCCTCAGAAGAGGATTCTTCAGGCCAAGTTTATCACTTGGAGGAGCACCGGACTTGTCTGTAAATAAGAAAGAGCGTTTCAAACGCTAAAGTAAGCCTGGTGCACCGCACCGATATTATCCCTCTCAAAGGGGATAGACGATTTCGTGGTGAAAGGCGATGCATTCAACCAAGGTCTTGGTTGTGTTCTTAAGCAAGAGGAAAGGTCGCTACCTATACCTCAAGACAGCTTAAGACACAAGAAGTTAAGTATTCAACATGTGATCTTGAGTCATGAGCAATGGAAATTGCTCTGAAGATCTGGAGACACCACTTGTAGGGTATACTCTCACAAACCACAAAACATTCAGCATACATTCGACCAAGAAGAGTTACCACACAAGTGAAGTCAAATGAAAGAAGCAAAGTAGTATCCCGATAGTGAAAGGTTCGTTGGAATGACAAGCGAGGACCTGAGTTCACTTAAGAACACGAGGAGCAAATAAAACTTCTAACCATAGCATGATTATCAATTCTGCTTAAACTCTAATTTCGGGACGAAATTCTCTGTAACGGGGGGATGATGTGACAACCCGATATTTAGAGACAATCTAATGTAAAACCAGTCAAATTTAGGTCAAAATATAACTTTACTAAAATCTTAGTTGGGTTAAATCAAGTGGTAGTAATCGTAACAAGGTTTTCATACATATAAAGAACACAAAAATCCGAGTTATAACGAGGAAGTTATAACCATTCTAAAATTCCCAACAAAACCGACAACACCGACTAAACGAAAAACGCTAAGTTTCAATACAATAGTTTTTAGCCTTAAATATCTAAATGAAAGTTGTAGATAACATTAAACTGCGAGCGTACATAAAAAGAACGTCCAAATCTGACTTCGTATGAAGAAGTTTTGATTTTTCCAAGATCCGGATATAATAGTAGACAGCTAAAAACTCGAAATAGAGATCGAGAGACTTTTGGCCAAAACAACCTAAATGAAAATCGAAGGTCTCAACAATAGTAGTGCAACGATGAAAAGTCTAACAAAAACGGACATCAGATGAAGAAGTTATGGATTTTTAACGGAATATTCGTGTCCCGGCCCGTTAAAAATAAATAATTAGCCAATGAAGTCTAAACGAGAGTTGTAGAGCATATTTTCAGCTACGCGTGCATATAAATAATGTTGAAAACGGAGCTCGTATGCAAAAGTTACGGATTTTACAAGTTCGAGGCCCGAAATCTGAGGCTGTCAGGTTTGCCACTAGGTGGCACAGTTTTGCCGCGACCCGGCAAGTGACTGAGGGCATCCAATCAATGGAAGAAGATAAGAATTGCTCCCCACGACGTGGCCAACCTTAGCCACGACGTGGCACACCAGAAATGCCTATATAAATAGATTTCAAGGGCTCCGAGTTTCATTGCTCAGTTCCCTTCTTTCTCGCGCTGAAACTCTGCGTTTAAGCCCCAGAGACCCTCCCAAAGCCCCTGTTTTCACCTTCAAGTCCCGAAGGAAGGTTTTGTGTTTCCGAGATTCCCAAGAATCCCGAGAAAATCAACTTTTCCGAGTCAAAATTCTACTCGATTTTCATCTCGCTTTCTTCAATCAATCAGGTGAGTTCATACCCATATAACTACGTTTTCAAATGTTTTATAAAAGCTTTTATACACTTTTAAGGGGGGGAATACAAGTAAACACACGACTAAAATCATGTGAAACATCGATCTTTTGCTATACTTTTTATACTGTTGTTTTAACTATCTTATGAAGTTATTATCATGCAAAATACCTCACAACACAACTTTACCCTCTTAGGATACAATATGTTTTATAAATAGAAATATGTTTTATTTATAAGTTTGCATACTACATCATATCAAGGGTAACCATTTCAACTATAACATGATGCTTTTACAAGAAAACTCAACTCATCATCACGTCTTTGTAACACGGTAGAAAAGGAAATCATTTCATACAAACGATTTTTCATCATATTACTCGTGAACTCGTTGTTAGCAATCATGTGGTGTCATATGGATTTGTTTGTACCAAATGAAATTCCCCACCTATAACCAGAGTCTCTTGAAGGGAGAGCGTGACAAGTGTGTATAGATCTATACGAGGTTGACAACTCCGCACACTGACTGTTAGCTACAGTCCGTCATTAGGGGTGACAAATGTCAACATAGGTACTGCGTCTAGTATGGTTATGAGGAACTCACAACACACGGAAACAATGAATCAACACTACAAGAAAAAGACCCTTTTACGACGCGCAAACCACGACACTCGTTAATTTATGTTACGCAAAAGAGAGTGACATTAAAAAAGTGTTATCTCTTCAAAAAATTTAAGGATTTAGGTCACGCATTATTGCGTGCCCTTAAATTAGTGTTATCAGAAAAAAAATTAAAAACATGGAGGGCGCTGTATGTTAAATGCGCGCCCTCTATATGTGTCACTTGATAATTTTAAAGAAATGCGCGTTTAGCAATAGGGGGAAAACGAAATACCAAAATTGAAAACCCGCTTTTGTACATTTTTTCTATTTTTCATCTTAGCAATCTATTCTCCCCTGTCCCTCCTTCTCCATCTTCTCCGCTCTGCTTCTCCTCTCTCCACCATGCCATGATGAATGAGATCTCTTCGTCAATCAGAGCTACCAGCCGACAAAGACCTTCATTTTCTCCCTCCCTTCTCTCTACAAAAACCCCACCTTGTGTTCTCCTCTTCCGTGTTTCCATCGGTCGAAAATTGCTTCTCCTTACAAGCCTAATATCTGATTGACGGGTTCGATTCTCCCCTTCTGGTTACACAAAGGTATGTTGTACTTACCATCGTTCATCTACCTTTTCTCCATCCACACTCGATACCTTTTTGTATTTGGATCTGTTAACACTATACGTCTCTTCTTCTTCCTCTCATACCGACGAATTAGGGTGAAATCTTCTAAATGCTTATAACGATAAACCGCTATCAACAGTAGGGTCAACAAAAACAAGAAAGTAACTAGATTCAAAGTTCTAGAGAAGATAATAAGACGATCTGGGTTGGCGATGTACAACACTGGATGTATGAAACTTATTGCCAGTCATGCTTCTCCCAAACCGGCGAGGGTAGGCTTTTTCACATTCCTTTTGTTTCTTCTTTGTTATATCATGAATCTGTATCCACTCAATCTGTACTTCTGATGCTTGTTAACCTTTGAATTGTAACTAATTTAAGCAAAAAAAAACATGTACGAAAGCTCAGAAGTTGGATCCCACTTCAAAACTGTCTATCTTTAACGGCTTGAAAGGTTAAGCACTCTCACACTCAAATGGTGTTCTGGGTTTGCCCACTCTTTTATGTTTTTATCAGGAACATGATCCAAACTTTGTTTCCCTCTATTGTTTTATGTTTTTGTTTCCATCTGTATTTAATTTATACTTTATCTTCATTAATTAAGACTTTGTTAGGTTTGAATCTAATTTGGGGATTCTGTTGATTTTGGGTGGTGCTGGTGGTGGGATAAGGAGCACCATGTGCTAGGGCCAAATGTTACTGTGGTTAGACCCAATCAATCACCCTGCTCCACCTCTCACCAGTCACTATTGTTGGCCGCTACAATCAGGTATGTCCCTCAGTTCCTCCGTTTATTTCTTCTCTCTGTTTCTTTCGTCTCTCTTGTCCGCTTGAAAAGTGCAATCACCATTCAGCAATTCAGGAATGTCAAACATTTGATTTTGGGGTATCTCCTAGAGAATCTATTTAACGGAATGTAAATCTTAGAACTTTGCAATGTGCACGCCTATATCTTTATTGATTATCAGTAATTTTGCATCTATTAAGTTTTTCTAGTTTGTTTATTGTTTTTCATCTAAATTATGTGCTTAATTTGAATTTATTCTGTTTGGTTAACACAAGTGTTAACAGGATGTAGAAGATGTTCTTCATCTAAATTATGTGCTTAATTTGAAGCTCTAAATGTTTAACAATTGACAATGATGAGTGCAAATATTTGTTGGTGGTTTGGATCCAAGTGTTTCTGATGAAACCTTACGGGGAGTTTTTGGTCAATTTGGTGAACTAGTTGATGTTAAGATTCCCGTAGGCAAGCGATGTGGATTTGTTTACTTTGCCAACAGGTATTAACATAAAGCCCCTTTGGAAGTTTATTTTTGTTTCCATATTTACCCTTGTTTGGTATGTTTCATAGGCTGTACAGAGCAAACTTTATCGATTAAATTAGGAGGCCAAAATATCTGGCTTTCTTGGGGTCTTAGTCCTTCAAGCAAACAGGGGCAATCGGAGCAGTCACATTGAACACCCTACTTTCTGCTGGAACTATCTATAGTAGACATACGAGCTCCTTGTTCACTGCATGCATTCTCCAAAACCGCATTGAACATCACCTGATAACATTCCCAAATTTTCAAATTACCATTTTTCACTTTGCCCATTAATTACAAAAACATATCATAACTAGCCCACAATACATAGGCCACAACACAGTTTAATTTACATTGTGACCTTATAAAAAAAATTTAGGGGTGTTTTAGAAAATTACTTTCGTTTCTTTCTGTTACAACATTGTATAAAAAACAAATAAATGTAAGAGTAAGAGGGAAGTTGCGCATGAAAACTGGAACTCTGCAAGATTTTGAAGAACTTCTGACTTTGTTTCACCACCTTCAATTCCTTAAGCATCCAAACTACCTATCTTTCCTCCAGCCTCAGATTCTCTTTCAAGTTTCCACAGTCTTCAAAATAATAATACCCAATTATAAACATTTAATCATACAAATTATCATTATTAATACAAGAATTCCAATAACATTATTTACCTCAGGAGACATGTTTTCCATATTTTGAATGAGATGCTAATAAAAAAAATGGCTTAATGCAAGGAGTCTTTCGGTGAAGGTTCCAGTTGTTCATGTTTTTACTACTATAGTTCCAGCTATGATGATAGCAGCGTTGCACTTTTTTCATCATAGTGTAGCTGCACAAATAGCTCAACAAAAGGAATTCAATCTTCAAAATCCATCTGCTTAGCATTATGATGTCTTCTTGCTTCAAATCATGGTATATATAAATTGATTTTTTTTTTATTATAAAGTTGTGATAATTTCATTTTTATAAATTTATACTAATTTTGTATGGTTTATTACTTTAGTATTTTCTTTCGAAATTGTTTCCACCTGAGCATCTTCAAGAACTCGATGCATCTGAATATGAAGAATTCATTGGAAGGCCAGTTCAAAGGATGAGTCTTTTGTGGGTATGCCAATTAATTGTTTTTTTTCCCTAATTACAATATTATAAGTATATTTATATCCAAATATCTATATCAACAGAAGGAAGGATCTAATGCGAAAATGATGGAAAATGATTTTTAAATCGATTCAGCTGAAATACTTGATGAAATGACAACCCGAAGAGGGGAACTAAAACTAAGGTAGATTACCGAGGAAAGTTGACTGAAAATGTATAAATGACTACTCACAATTCTTCGCATTGTATTTTGAAAATTTTGGTTTTAGCGATTTTATGTTAATATCACGTTTTAAGAGATTGACTATATGATGCCTTGTTTCAAATATAATATGATACATTTACCAAGTTTAATGAAACAAAGTATTCAAAAGAACTTTGCTTGTATTGGATTTTATTGTGTACTTGTGCTTTGAAAGATATGTTTGTACAACACTTATGGTGCATAGGTCATGTTGAACTCACGAATATTATAATATGCTTATAAACACTAAAGCTTATAATGGTGTTACTTGTTTTTCCTCACAGCTACTGGAAATCGTCATAGGCTCTTTCGCATCAACCTTGCAGGAGGTAAGTAACACCCCCCCCCCCAAGCATACAAAGTAGTTTATATAGCTGCTAAACAAGATTGTTGAAATTCCATCAAATTGAGAAAGTTTTTGGTAGCTATTTTGATTAAAATGGAATCTTTTTATTTATCTTGTTACTATTTTCATACTATGAATTTATTAATGATTTTTTAGGAGCTGCTGCTATTACTGAAACATGGAGATTTAGGAAGTCGGTTAATTTATGCATTGAACAAATTCTTTGCATGGATGGAAGCCGAATGCAAAAAGAGTTGGCAAATATGTGAGTTACTTAATCATTATCCTAAACAAATATGTTTGATAATATATAGAATATTTCTACTTCATACTAAATCCATTTTTTTTTTTGTTTTTCCTATGTGTAGAATGTTGAGAAGGTATCCAAATCATCCAACAATAACAAAACTTATATCCAAACGTTTCTACCGTGAGCATGTTTTCGATGATTCAACATCGGACATGAACCCTAAGATATCATATTTTGGCATTCACATTTGAGGAAGTAATCCGTTCAAAGGCTTATAGTGGAGGTGTTTATCTATTAGGTATGTAAAATGCTTACTCTTGATTATATCATTGCAATGCATATAAAAAGATCTGCTATAATGTATGCCTCTCTCACCTTCTTAAACCACTTCTAAGACAAAAAACGAACTTATATAATGATTATTTGTCAACATGGAATGTCTAGGGCTTCAAATTACTTCTTTAGTAATACATAAAGCTCCTGCCATTTTTGTTTAACAGCTTCTCTAAGACTCTTGGGCGAAAAGACTACCCTTCTATCACCCGATACTGTTGTTGCATCTGGCATTCCATGTTGCAGGTGTGTTATTTCTTTGTTCAAAATCCATGCTTATATGAATTTCACTTCACATTATTGTGGTTGGATTTGGGACATGTTGTTGAGATTTGGGACATTCTACTGAAAATTTCTTCTGTTTCATGATTGTAGGTTAGTACAGAACCCTGGTGAATTTGTAATGACATTTCCAAGGGCTTACCACATAGGATTCTACCATGGTGATGTTTTGCATATATATATATATATATATATATATATATATATATATATATATATATATTGTGGTTGGATATATTTATACTTTTATAGACTCTAATATCAAACCATTGTCTTTAAAGCTTTCAATTGTGGGGAAGCTGCTAATTTTGGAACCCCAAAGTGGCTTTCAGTAGCTAAAGAGGCTGCAGTGCGCAGAGCTGCCATGAATTTTCTTCCTATGCTTTTTCATCAACAACTGCTTTACCTACTGACCATGTCATTTATTCCAAGGTGAGCTAGAAATATTTCTAAGTCTTTTGACATATGAAGCTAGAAAGAGTTATTCCAAATATATCAGGAGGGGTAAATTGGTAATATTGTTTAAATGTATTTTAATGGCAGGGTGCCTAGGTCCTTGTTACCAGGGATAAGAAGCTCTCGTTTAAAAGATCGTCAGAAAGAAGAACATGAGCTTTTGGTGAAGAAGGAATTCAGTTCTTCACCATTCTGTTAAAGAGGTACTTCATACAAGTTTACATGATACTCTTCAATAAATATAGTTACTTTCTACTACTTTGTGACTTTTTTTCCCCTGACACTTGAAATAACAGGGTAAGGAGAGCATTCTAAACATTCTGGAAACTTTAAAAGAAGAGGGATATGGGTACACATAAGATTTTGGAATTTTTAGTCATGTTTCTTGTAGATGACTTGGTCGTTCACTTTGCAACAAAGCCTCCACCACTTGGTATGTGTTGTTATCTTCTCTCTAGTCTTTACTTACACTGAGTTTACTCAAAGTGGCATATTTCTATCTGTGCTTGTGCTTGACATAGCAAGTGTTATTGGCTACTTGTTGTGCCTTTGAAGGGGTATGTTTCTCATCACATAACTGAAGAATATCTAGGTGGCAAAATAATATCACATTATGTTCTACTTTGTGCCTTTGAAATTGCAAGAGATGCTGGAGCCCTTAGAGAACCTAAGGACAAAATGGGGAAGTGAGTTGAAGAGATGACATGGAGATTAGACTTTAAAAAGCATTTGAGGGTATATTTTTTTATATTTCTTATATCTAATTAGTTTGTAAATTTTTGTTACAACTATTGATTTGTTTTATCTCTCCACGGAACGATTATTTTGTATGACATTAAGTTTTATGCAATGGATTGTATTTTTTGTATATGATATTTTATTTTATATTATGTGACATTAAATACAAATTTAATTTGAAAATTAGTAAATCTAAAAATAATATTTTTTTTAAACAGTTAAAATTATGATACGCAAAAATGTGTGTCATCTTCATTTATGACATGGCCTTTCTTGACAGGGGCTTTCTTGATACGCATTGCGTGTCATTAACACGCGCGTCGTAAGGTTACGACACGCAAATGCGTGTCTTCTTCCTTTATGACAGGGCCTTTCCTGATACGCATTGCATGTCGTAAACGTGCATCGTAATTGCGCGTCTTAAATGAGCGTCGTCTATAGACGACGCGCAAAAGCGCGTTGTCTCTCTTTATGACAGGGCCTTCCTTGACGCGCATTTGCGCGTCGTCTGAGCCTTTTACGACACGCAATAAGCGTCGTAAAAGGCTGTTTTTCTAGTAGTGCAAGCACGTAGTAATACATAACTCAATCATGCTTGGGGGGTAGTAACTATATTCTAGGGTATTATCAGCATAATCAAGAACTCAGGATAAACACTTCCACAACTAGTTTTACTTAACAATAAAACTATACATCTTCTTTTTAGCATGTCATAATTGCTTACAGGTTACACTCTTGGTAATTTGAGACTGCATTTCACATTTAGGAAAATATAGGATTTTCCTAGTTCATATACATTCATTTTGTACAATAGCAATTTAAAACATCATTCTTTTGAGCATGTCATAGTTGCTTACAGCTTACGGTCTTGGTCATTTGAGACTGCATTTAACTTTTAGGAAAATAAGGGATTTTCCTGGTTTAAATACATACAATATACAACAAATATTCTCATGCATTTCATACTTTTATAAGAAAATATCGGATTTTCTGGAAAACACACACGCACTTTCGAATGGCATACATTTCCTCAAAACACTACTTATGAACTCACCAACTTAAATGTTGACACTTTTTCTTTGAAATAACTTGTATTCTCAGGAAACCGCTAAACCAGGTAGCAACTACTTTTGAAGACTAACGCGCTAGCGTTAGTAACATATTTTGGGTCACCATATTGTATTTGATTTCTTTTGCAAACATGTAACACATACAATCATGTAAACTTTTCAAATATATTTATATTATGGTGGTGTGTACTTTCTTTACTATTCAATTGTTATGATACTTGACATGACATCCTCCGCCCCCGAACATTTCCGCTGTTCTGGTTTAGGGGTGTGACACCTTTCCAGGGCGAGACCTTCAGGAGTACCATGTCACTGATCTGGAACTCTAAGTCATATCAGCGTTTGTTAGCGTAACTCTTCTGCCGACTTTGAGTGGTCTGCAGTCACTGTCTAATCTGTTGAATCTTATCGGTAGTCTGCAAGACTACCTACGTCCGTCCCATCACTATGTGTCCAACCTCACCCTAACAAACCGGGGTGCGACATCTCCGCCCATACAACAGCTCAAAAGGCAGGACACCAATGCTAGAATGATAGTTGTTGTTGTAGGTGAACTCTGCAATGGGTAGGTGGGAATCCCAACTCTTATTGATAGCAATGAAACACACCCTCAACATGTCCTCGAGGGTCTAAATGCTCTGTTCGCTCTGACCGTCGGTCTGTGGATGATATGTTGTGCTAAAATGCAACTGCGTACCCAGTTCCTCGTGGAACTTCTACCAGAAACGAGAGGTAAATCTAACATCCCGATCAGAAACAATAAATACCGGAACTAGTGGTGAGCGACGATCTCGCGGACATACACGTCGACCAACTTCTCGACCAATGAACTCTCCCGTATGGCCAAGAAATGGGCACTCTTAGTCAATCGATCCACGATGACCCATATAGCATCAAACCCCTTCGATGTCCTTGGCAACATGGTAATGAAGTACATCATGATATGTTCCCATTTCCACATGGGAATCTCAGGAGTTGCAGTGTGCCATGCGGCCTCTGATGTTCGGCCTTGACCATCCTACAGGTCAGGCACCTCTCGACGTACCAAGCAATTTCTCACTTCATGAACGGCCACAAGTAAGTCAAACTCAAGTCTAGGTACATCTTAGTGGCCCCCGGGTGAATAGAGAAGTGAGAATTGTAAGCCTCCTCCATAACTATCTGTCTGACCTCACCAGACATCAGAACACATACCCGAATGCATCGAGTCAATAATCCCTGACAATCCTGCAAAAACCAGGCATTCTCGCCCCTGATCCTCTCTAGTTCCCAGTTCCCTGGTCGCATGCCCTCAACCATGGCATCTCTAATCAAAACCACAAGTGGAGAATCTACTGCTATCTTCATACATATTGTTAGGATGGAAGACCCAGCTGACTTGCGCCTCAAAGTGTCTGCTACTACATTTGCTTTACCGGGATGGTAAAGGATCTCGCAGTCGTAGTCCATGACTACATACAGCCACATGCGTTGTCTCATGTTCAGGTTTGGCTGATCCATGATGTGTCTCAGACTCTCATGATCCATGTATATGGTACAATGGACCCCATAGAGGTAATGCCTCCAAATATTGAGGGCAAACACCACCACTCCCAACTCCAAATCATGAGTATGGTATCTCGTCTCATGCGGCTTCAGCTGTCGCGATGCATAGGCTATCAGCCATCCTCTCTGCATGAGGACCACCCCTAATCCTGTGATGGATGCATCACAAAACACCACAAAATCATCGACTCCTTCTGGAAGAGTCAATACTGGAGCCTCGCACAACCACTGTCGGAGGGTCTCAAATGCCCTCTGCTACTCAGGGCCCCACTGAAAATCCACCCTTCCTCGTCAGATGGGTGATGGGTACTGCAATCTTGGAGAAATCTTGTATGAATCTCTGGTAGAACCCAACGAATCACAGAAAACTCCTAATGTCTGAGGGAGATTTCGGAACCTCCCACTGCATGACTACCTCGATTTTGGTCGAGTTGACTGAAATCACCTATTGGTTAATGAGTTTTCTGAGGAATTGAACCTCTCGTAACCAAAACTCACACTTCGAGAAGTTAGCATAAACCCGTTCTCACCTCAAAACTCACAATAACTCCCGCAAAAGCTCCTCAGGCTGCTCTCGGGTCTTGGAATATACAAGGATATCATCTATAAACACGATCACCAAGCGATCAATCATCGGTCTACATATCCAATTCATCAGGTCCATAAATACTGCCAACACATTGGTGAGCCCAAACGGCATCACCACAAACTTGTAACGTCCATAACGAGTTTGGAACATGGTCTTTTCCACGTCCTCCACTCTGACCCTGACCTGATGATACCCAGTTCTCAAGTCTATCTTGGAAAACAAAGACACGCCCTGTAACTGGTCAAATAAATCATATATCCTCAGGAGAGGGTATTGGTTCTTCACCATCAATTTGTTCAACTCCCGGTAGTCGATACACATCCGGTGTGAACCATCCTTCTTCCTGAAGAAGAGTATCGGCGCTCCTTAGGGAGAACTGCTCGGACGAATGAAATTCTTTCCTAACAGTGCCTGTAGCTGTGAAGACAACTCCTACATCTCTGGTGGTGCCAACCGGTACGACACCTTAGCGATGGGAGCTGCACCTGGCAGTAGGTCAATCCTAAACTTGAACTGCCTCTCTGGAGGTATCCTTGGTAACTCCTCTAGGAATACGTCCGCAAACTCCCTGACCACTGAGACCTCTGAAACTGAAATATGATCTCTATCTCACATATACACCACATTTGCAAGGTAACTCGCACACCCGTGTTGAATATACTATCTGGCCCTGGTGGCTGAACAAAACCCTGATCCCATTCTGGTTCCCTCAACATAGACAATTAAATCTCCCCCACTTGGGGTTCGAACCACTACCCGTTGACCCTCGCAATCAATCATGGCACCGAATTGACTAGCCCAATCCATACCCACAATCACACACACATCCCCCATGGGGATCGGAATCAAGTCGATCAGGAAAGACACCCCGAAGATCTCCAACTGACACCCTCGATAGACCGAAGAAGTAGAAACCCTATGTTCGTTGGTGATAGAGACTTGCAAAAGACACTCTAGCTCTCCTACTGGCACACTGAACTCCCCACTAAATGCCTGAGATACAAACGACCGACTCGCCCCTGAGTAAAATAAAACCAATGCAGGCAATGAGTTCACTAAAAACGTACCTAATCACAGGTACAACAGATAAGCATAAAACAGATATAATAAATTAAACAAAGGATAGAAACATACTAGCAACCACATCCGATGCTGCTCTGGCCTCCTCAACTGTAAGCTGGAAGGAACATCCCTGAGCCCTCGGGGGCTCTTCTCTCCCCTGTCTCCCATCGGTAATCCTTAGTGTAGAAGGCACTG